GCTAAAAATTCCGGTGTGAATTTCCCGAACTTTCCTGGGGCGAATGGAACGGAGTTTTCCGCTTGACTGCACCAGAGGGGAATTTTTCAATGACTTCAAGGTTGAAATCGCAAGTAGCAAGATTGTAAAGTAAAATATTCATCCATTTTCGAATATACACGTGGTCGTCATCTTTGCAACAGGCGGCGAATAGAAATTGTGAGTTTACATAATTTCTGAAAAGGAGGACAACTTCCTAAGGTATACCCAAATTTTCGAAACAATTTTAACTAAAAATTTCTGTTCCATTTGATTTTCAGCCTGAAGTTTCCGTAATTTTCGGTTGAATGGTTCGCTTTTTGAAAATTCCACAATTTCTGGATTTCTCGAACCTTTCCCAGGAAATGTCCGTACCATTTGTCCTCGCGTCGAAAATTTCGGAATTCAGTTTGGTTGAATGGAAAGCGCCCGTGCTTTGCTTTTTTATCGGACCAATGAAATAAAAGTCGTCATAATTAAATTATTTAAAGTGACAGCCAACCTCGATCCCATGCCATCTCTCCTCGTTGGTATCGCGGGTGAGTGATGTATCAAACACAACATTAGGGAGCTTAAGCAAACCACGACGACGACGGCAGCGAGAAGGTCACTAAACAAAAGGTTTAATGAGCAACACAATAGCTGTGCACGTGCGTTATAAATCTTTGTACATTTCTTTGCTGTCCTCTGCAAAACAACAACGTGAAATGACCAAGTTCTGAGCCGTCTACTGAACGGGAACAACGACGGTTAATTTTTCGTATTTCTATTTGGTATTGAACGCTGTCATTGCATTTTTAGCCTAAGCACGCTTTTAGAGCCATTGGCGTACCGAAGAGATCTAGACAATCGCGAATTTCGCTGGTAAAATATAATTACATTTTTTATTAGGCGTCGTCCTCAGCGTCGCCGTCGTCGTTGCTTGAGCTCCCTATTAAGTCACTACTCACAACTCGCAGTGACTAAATGAGCTGCCTAAACAGGCTAAAGGTAGGTAGAGGCTGTTCACCCGTTGCAGAAGTTAAGTCATTAGGGAGCTCAAGCAACGACGACGGCGACGCCGAGGACGACGCCTAGTGAAAAATGAAATTATATTTTACCAGCGAAATTCGCGATTGTCTAGATCTGTTCGGTACGCCAATGACTCTAAAAGCGTGCTTAGGCTAAAAATGCAATGACAGCGTTCAATACCAAATAGGAATACGAAAAATTAGCCGTCGTTGTCCACGTTCAGAAGACGGCGCAGAACTTGGTCATTTCACGTTGTTGTTTCGCAGAGGACTGCAAAGAAATGTACAACGATTTATAACGCACGTGCACAGTTATTGTCTTGCTCGTTAAACCTTTTGTTTAGTGACGTTCTCGTTGCCGTCGTCGTCGTGGTTTGCCTAAGCTCCCTACGGAGTTTAAGAAAACTACGTCGTCAACGGGAATATCTCTAAAGAAAGGTATAATGAGCAGACAATGGCTGTGCACGTGTGCTTTAATTCTTAGTACATTTCTTTGCCGTCCTTTGCAAAACAACAACGTGAAATGACTAAATTCTGCGTTGTCTGGAAAACGTGAACCACAACGACTAATTTTTTAAATTTTTATTTCGAATTTACCGTCGCTTGTATCTGAACTTTAACACGTGACGCCGCAAAATGCCCTAATTGGATTTCAAACGTGGCATCATTGGTCATCAAACAGTTGAAGTTTAGCACACCGTGACGCGAACTTTCGCGCTCTGAAAGACTCTGAAAGTCTTGCTCCCGCCAATATTTCATGGTTATACTTAACTAGAAGTGAAACACTTTCGCGAAAGGTGTAAGCATATTGACACAGGTCAGGGTCAATTTCTCTGAAGAAGTCTTCAATCTCCAATCTTTCTGCCATTTTATGTGCTGAACTTTGAGCGCGAAAGTTCGCGCCACGGTCTGCTAAACTTCAAATGTTCGATGACCAATCATGCTACGTTTGACACCCAATTAGAACATGTTTGGACGTCACGCGCTCACGCTTAGATGCAAGCGATGGTATCACCGTGACCCAGATTCAGTTTCGTGATAGTTTTGACAGCGACAAACAAAATAAATGACTTGACAGCGTAGGTAAAATATAAAGTCATTTTTTAATGTACGTTGTCCTCCCTACTAACTAACGTCAGGCACGGGATAAAATAAACGGAAATTTAGGCATCTTTGAGTGAGCCTCAATGACACTTCCGTACGAGTTCCAGAAACTCTCTTTTTTTGTCTTTAATATTTAATATATATCCCCTAATTTGTCGACTGAGAGGTGTTAAGCCCTGACAAAACGGACTCGCACGTAGACGCAATTTGACAACTTGGGCCTACTTGCGATTCCATTTGTCCATATAATAAAATAAAAAAGTTTGGCTCGTTTTGCGCGTTTTTTGGTAATTGCCCAGCTCCTCCACTAAAAAAAAACGAAATTTAACAAATTGACGTCAGTAGTTCGTGTAGTGTGATCGTCCGG